GGATGGAGGTGAGGATGGAGATGGGCGTGGAGATGGGGATGGAGGTGTGGATGGAGGTGAGGATGGAGGTGAGGATGGAGATGGGCGTGGAGATGGGGATGGAGGTGAGGATGGAGGTGAGGATGGAGATGGGGATGGAGGTGAGGATGGAGATGGGGATGGAAGAGGAAAAGAAAATAGAAAGGAGATGGGGATGGAGGTGGAGAGAGGTGGGGGTGGGATGGAGTTGGGGAAGACTGAGAGTGAAGAAAGGCTGTAGATAATGAGCCTGAGAAACAGTGGGTTGTGGAGGAAAGGGTGCTGTACTTAGTCAACAGAAGGGAAAGAGAGGAGGAAGGGGGCGAGGATGATGTGATGTGCGGGGGGAAGCAGCCCTAAGCAGCCAGGGACGCCCAGGTGTAGACAGCTCCCTGACTGCCTGCACTCAGAGCCCTCCGCCGGGAGACAGGAGGCCAGATGCAGAGTGACATTTGCCTGGGACGCAGAGACTGCGGAATGTGCTGATGGGGAGAGTGCGGGAAGCCCGGGCTGTCCACACCGATATTAGCAGCTCTGCTGTGTCATCGTCCACACAACTGGAATCCGTTATTGTCTTACGAGCTTGATTAACTGTACATATTGTGAACACCTGCTCAGAAATATAACGAGGGACAGGAACACAGCTCCCAATCAGGGTCCATGTGGGAGTGTTGGTGACCTGGGTGCAGATCTCCAGAATGAGGACGTGTGCGTGTGCAGATGTGTGTGTGTGTGTGTGTGTGTGTGTGTAAGTGTGTTGAGGAGGTACCCACACTGTGCAAAGAACCCTGGCCAGGATGTGGAAGGCTCGGGTTCCAGTCCAGGCTCTGCCATTGATCTATAGTGTCACCACAGGCAAATCTCTCCCTCTCTCTGACCTCAGTTTGCTTACCCGTAAAATGGAAGGTCCAGACCAGCGCTCTCCAATAGAAATATAACGCAAGCCACATATTTAATTGTAAGTTTTCCAATGACCACGTTAAGAGAAGTCTTTAAATCGGTGACTAATTTTAATACTATGTTTATTAAATCCATTATATATCCCAAATAGTATTTCAATATGTAACCAATATAAAAATATTAATGATGTATTTAACATTCTTTTTAAAAATTGTCTTCAATATTCAGTGTGTCTTTTACATTTACAGCCCTTATGAACTCGAAAAAGCCACATTTCCAGTGCTCACTAGCCACGGGGGGTGAGTGGTTACTGTACTGGACATGCCAGTCCAGGGCATTTTCTGGTGCCCTCATTAAACTGAATGCCCAAAGGCAGAGACCACGTTTTATTCTCCCGGCCAGTAGCAAGGAGCTTCAAAGAAAGAATGTTAGTGAGTAATACTACTAATGACGCAGCTGACGTGCCGGGTGCACTTTCAAAACACTTTCAGGCACTGCTTCATTGCTTTCTCCCAGGTCCCTGTAATTCGGTTTGGCAGATAAGGAAACTGAGGTTCAGAGAGGTTAAATAACTTGCCCAAGGTCACACAGCAGGAAAGTGGTACAGCCGGTCTTTGAACCCCGGGTAGTCTGATTTAGAGTCTGCACTCTTATGCATTGTCCTATACTGCCTCCCTTATAATAGTGATGCAAATAATATTAATTAAAAATGCTGGGGCCGGCCAGGTGGTGTAGTAGATAAGTTCGCTCCACTCTGCTTCGGTGGCCCGGGGTATACAGGTTTGGATCCCGGGTGCAGACCTACACACCACTCATCAAGCCATGCTGTGGTGGCGTGCCATATACAAAATAGAGGAAGATGGGCACAGATGTTAGCTCAGAGCCAATCTTCCTCACCAAAAAAAGAAGAAAAAAAGAAGGAAAAAAATATTGCTAAATGGCATTGCAGGCTTACCATGTGCCAGGCATCTTGTAAGCATCATCTCATCTAGTCCTCAAAGTGATTCTATCAGGAAGATTCTAGGTGTCTAATTCCTGTTTGCCCGATGAAAATAAGAAAGAACGAATGAGTGATTTTAAAGGTGCCCCCTGCAGAGTTCTGAGCCTCTAGGGTCTTTAGAGGGTATGATTATACCTGCATATATGCCACCGTGAGCCACGCCAATTATGCTCTAATTGGCGTGGTCCCTTAATCATCGGGACAACCCAGTGAAGTAGGGCCACCCCCAGGAGCACATCCCGAGGGATCTGGGTTACAAGGTGTCCGTGGAAGTTGAGATGTGCCAGGTAAATGTGTGCTCCGGTGGCTAAAATGTGTAGTTAGGGCTAAAGGTACCAACAGATATGAGCCCCTTGCTTCTTGCCAAAGATCGAGGGGGCACAGCTTCACGTCGGAGTTTGGGCTCTGGAGTCGGGGCGTTTGGGTTCAAATCCTGACTCTGTGAACCCGGGCAAGTCGCTTCACCCCTTCTTAAGTTTCCCCATCGGTAAAATGGGAGTAAATAAACCCACCTCATAGACTAATGGTGAGGATTAAATGAATTAACCCACATTAAGGACAGCTCCTGGCTCCTAAGTGTTAGCCATTTCTCGTTCTTGCTGTGGGATCCAGGTTTTCAGTCGCGTCCTAGAAAAGAGAGATTGCAGAGTCTGCGACTTCTGGGTAATTGAAGTGTTCTGGTGTGTTTTCCCCTCTCGGAATTTCTACCCGACTTACCATCTGCTTCATACCATCTTACGCTTAATTACAATTCTCCATCTATTGTTCTCCTGTTGTTTCCTGTTCGTTCCGCCTCCCTTGCCGCTGGCACGTGGCGGCTGCCTGAATGAATGAATGGCTCATACCTGCCTTCCTGTCACTAGACCTTGAAATAGAGTCGCCAGGCGTCTGTCGCCCCCGCCAGACTGCGAGCTTCTCAGCGCCGTATCTGCTTCATCACCAGGCGCCCACGGCGAGCACCTGGCACCATGCCCGACACCTAGTAGGTGTCGGGAAATGTTTATCGAATTTAATTAATCTTAACCGGAGTGAAAACCCTGTGCAGGAAGGAAAGGCCCACACCTCTTCATTTTCTCTGCTTCCCCCACTACACTTGACCCAAGGCCAGATGAGCCAGAGCCGACAGCCGTTCCCAGGTGCAGGTCTAAGATTCTGCCTCCTGTCCTGCTGATTACAAGGGGTTGGGGAAAAAACAGTACAAGTAAGAATAGCAAACTCCTTCCATGGGCTAAGCCATTTCATGTCTATTAGCTGGTTCATCCTTCAAGTATGCCTGCCGAGTATCATCCCATCTAACAAATCGGGGAACGGAGGCTCCCAGTTTTGGTGACTTGCCCAAGGACATGGAGGTGGTGTCCTAGCTGGGATTTGGACCCAGGATCCCGATGGCTCCACGTCTGCCCTTTCTACTACCCCACAGGGCCGGGGGACACCGGCTGTAGCAAAGGGGCCACTGGCAGCCAGTGAGGAGAACAGAGAGGCGAGCTGGTGGGAGGCGGGACCAACTTCCGGAAAAAAAGGGAAGAGGGCAGACTCCTGGCTCTAAATCTCTCTCAAGGTCATCTACTTCTCTCTCCACTGCCCTCACCGTAGTCTAAGCTACCCGTCTCTCTAGCCCAAATCACGCTCTGTATTTCCAGTCTCTTCAAAATGCAATTCGGATCATGTCACTGCTCTTGCTTAAAACCTTCAGTGGCTCCCCACTGCTCTCAGGACAAAGAAGAAAAGCTCACAACCAGTGGTGTGCTGGCTCTGGGGGCCAGGGCAGCGGAAGGAAACAAACAAACAAAGAAGCCCCGGTCTGTCTTGGTGGCTGATTTCTGTGGTATAAAGATACCCATGGTGGCTGGTTTCAAAAGAGCAGCAGTTTAACAACTGGTTCACAAAATTCCTGATAGTGTCATAATCGGCTCTCCTGAGCTGGTAGGAACCGGCCCCTGCACACCACTGTGAGTGGTAACCCACTGTCAGCCACCCTGTTCTGTGCCCTGGGCATCTCCCCAGCCCCACTGGGCACCACATTCCCCCAGGATCCTTGTACTCCCACTACAAGGACCTGCCTCCCATCCCCCCTGCTCTGAGCTGACCTGCCACTGGGCCTTTGCACATGCTGTTCCCTCTACCTGCCACGCTTTTCCTCTGCCTACTGGTGCTTCCTCTGGTCACAGCACAGTGTCACCTCCTCAGACTTGGGCAGGGGCCCCTTTACACTCGTTATACTTCCCCGTATCTGATGCACTTTGCACGTTTAACTGTGGGATCTTTTGATTCATGCTCGTCTTCCCCATCAGCTGTAAGCCCAGTGAGGCAGGGCCCTTGTCTGTATGCCCAGCAGGGACGTCATTGTCACTGTACCTGATGCCAGTGGCACCCCCTGGAGCCGTGCAGCATTTGTCCCCACAGCACCACTGTGGGACCAGCCCATCTTAGGTATTCAGTGAATCTTCCGGAATCTTCCAGTTAAGCTTTTGTCTTCTCTTTTGGGTAGCTCCTCCCAGCTCCATCGAAGTGGTGGCCGCTGACACGCCAGCCCCCTTCAGCCGCTACCAAGCCCAGAACTTCACGCTGGTCTGCATTGTGTCTGGAGGGAAACCAGCGCCCATGGTGAGTAGCCCTGGAGCGCCCAGTCCCCCTCCGTCCCTGCTGGACCACCCTCCTTCGTGGCTCATCCAGCTGCAGGAGTCACCGCGAGGCCCACTCCGCAGAATGAAGGAGAGAGGGCGTGTGAGTTCCCTCTGCCTCGGTCTGACCCTGCGCACTCATCTGACCTGCCCAGGCGTCCGTGTGTCTCCCTTGCTCCTGGTCTCCCAGCGCTGAGAACCCCACTTTTCCTGGACCCTGGGATCCTAGAACTGTGCAGTGGGAGTGTTTAGGGGAGCCAGCATCAAGCACACCCTGACCCCCGTTACTGAGCAGGGTGGAGACGCATGAGCCCAGAGAGGGGAAGGGGGTGTCCAGAGGCACCCACAGGTTCCTGACGGAGCTGAACCCCTGTTCTGGCCGACTGCTTATCAGACCCAGCCCAACCGCTCAGAGCTCTGCCAGTGCAGCCCCTGAGTTACTGTCATGGCCATTCAAGGGGCGGGTGTGGGATGTGTGAGCACTAACCCGAGCGTCTGGAGAGCTGGCCTCTCGCCCCGGCCCTGCCCCACGCCCTGAATGACCCTGAGCAGGAAGGTCTTCCTCTGCGTCTCAGTTTCTGTAAGGGGCTTTAGGGGTGGACACTGTTCAAGTTTCTCAGCTTTTGTGGAAGCAGCAAGGACCCATTTGGTCTGAAGGAAGTACGTGGAAGCCCCATGTACAAAACACCTAAAAGGGAAGGGAGGGCAAGTTAACCTTATTGATCCTGAAGCACTCTGTGGAACCCCTAGGGTTCCCAGAACCCACATTGAGAACCTATGGGCTACACACTCCCAAGGTCCCTTCCGGTTTTGACATTGTATGACACTTTGGGTCTTGACCCTGTGAGTCTCGTACGTCACTAGGATTAGTGAGGGGTGGAGCTGCAGCCATGGGCAGGTGGGGGTGGAGTTCAAGGCAGGGAGGCAAGGGCTCTCCTCATCCCAAACCCTGGCTGTCTCACAGGCATGGTCCAGTGAGGGGACCTTGGGACCCAGGCCAGCCTCACCTCAAACTAGGCCCAGATAGACCCAGCTGCCCAGGACAGGGCAGTAGACAGGTGTGGAGAGACCCAAGACAGGGCAGCAGGCGGGGCACACGGGCACGGGTGGGGCAGCAGGCAGAGGTGCAGAGAGAAGCCTTTGGTGAGGCCCATCTCCCTCCACCACCCCTTGTAGGCCACAGAGACAGATACAAAGCAGCTTCAAAGCCAGCAATTGCTGAGAGCAGGATGTCGACGCCCCTTTTCCCCTTTGGAGAGAGGTCTGGCCTCCCTAAAATCAGACAAGCTGGGCTTTTTCTCCAAAGAGAAACTCCTTTTCCGGAGCGCAAAAAGAAAGGCTCCTCACAGCCTTGGGGCAGTGGATCCCCCTCCCCCAGCCTGCCTGCTCCTGCCATTTAAGACACAGCAATAAAATATGGCATGCATATATGCAAAAGACATATATATATAAAAGATTCTCATCTCCCCGCATTCCAGGCATCTTACGTTTGCCTGGGACGTCAGAACTTGAAAGGATTCTTTGATATAAATTACAAACCTGCTCTTGAAGCACTTTTCAAAAAAAAAAGAAAGAAAGAAAAATCCCAAAGCAGGCTATTATGTGCATAAGAGATTCTTCGTGGGAGCTATAAACTCTGACAGATTCTCCCGTCCCACATTTCATTTACCGGCCCCCACCTCTCCCACCTCCCTTGCCTGCAGCCCCCCTCCTCCTGCCTCTCCCCCATCCCCCTTCTCCCTCCCCCCACTTGCACCAGCTTCCCTGAGAGCTGCTTCCTGCCCTCCTCTCTCCTTGTCTCCCATTGATTTATTTATCTGATTTATTAAAAATGCACCCAATTCCCACAGGCCTCTGGCCGCAAGTACTAAAATAAAAAGACAGCAAATTAAATTAAATGCCGCCTCTCCAAACCTGAATTCCCCATTAGCAGAAAAAGTGAGATGTTTGCTTTCGCCTCATCCCCACACCTAGCTCCCTCCCACACACGCACCTGTTCTCTGCCTTCCATCTCCCAAACCTCCAAAATGCTCACACACAGAGATCCTTTCCCCTTCGTGCTTCTCCCCACATCTCATTTCATCTCCGGGCACATCCACCTTCTCTCTCATCCACTTGCTCTCTCCAGGTGGGCACGGACCACCCCCGTGGAGCCCAGGTGGCTGCCATGGCTGTGTCCAGGGCCCCTGTCTCTGCCCATCATTTCCTTTAAGCATCTAAGAGCCCCACGAAGTAGGTGATCTTATTCCCCTTTACCAGGAAGGAAACTGAGGCTCAAAAAGTCTCACCAGCTGGTAAGGGATGGAGATGGGCTCAGCCTCTGCCACCAGGGGCTGCGTGTCCCCGTTGAACGGAGCTGACTCAGAGTGCTGGGGGAGCTGGAGGGAAAGGAACAGAAGGAGGTCCATCTGGAAGGCCACTAGGAGGAGAAGGCTCCAGAAGGAGCTGCCTTTGGTGGCCAGTTCCTCTGAGAGCCCATTGGGACGTCCACGTCATTGGCACACAATCTTTTCCCACACCCTCCTTGCAATTTCAGGTTTATTTCAAACGCGATGGGGAACCTATCGACACAGTGCCCTTGTCAGAGCCATTGGCTGCAAGCTCTGGCCCCCTCCAGGACAGCAGGCCCTTCCGCAGCCTCCTGCACCGTGACCTGGATGACACGAAGATGCAGAGGTCACTGTCCCTGCTGGACGCCGAGAACCGGGGCGGGCGTCCCTACACGGAGCGTCCCTACCACAGCCTGACCCCAGATCCCAGCATCCTCCTCCAGCCGACCACCGAGAACATCCCCGAGACGGTGGTGAGCCGCGAGTTCCCCCGCTGGGTCCACAGCACCGAGCCCATCTACTTCCTGCGCCACAGCCACACCCCGGGCAGCGACGGCACCGTGGAGGTGCGCGCCCTGCTCACCTGGACGCTCAACCCGCAAATCGACAATGAGGCCCTCTTCAGCTGTGAGGTCAAGCACCCAGCGCTGTCGATGCCCATGCAGGCAGAGGTCACGCTGGGTAAGGCTTGGTGGGTGCCACTCTGCAGGCCCCCTGCAGAGCCGGTGGTGGGCCTTGGGGAATAGGGTCCCTGGGCTGCTGGCCGCCATGGAGAGGGAGCAAATGGGAGTCAGGCATGGAGGTCAGAGTCAGGGGTCACAGGAGGTTTACTGAGCTGGACTGGAGAACGTGGGAGGTTACGGGGGTCAAGGGGCGTTTGCTGGAAAGGGTCAGGAATACAAGAGAGAGGGGAATTTGGTCAGTCGATCAAGAATATGGAAAGTCAGAGAAGCTCTCTGGATCGTTGTAGAAACAGGAGATTTTTAAGGTTGGAAATGCAACACGGGAGTCATGGGGAGGTTTGCTGGGCTAGTGGAGAGCACATAAGAGTTTGGACCTTTCCAGAAGCGTTGCTGAGTCAGGTCACAGAAGGTCAGGCGGGGTTTCTCGGTCACATTGGGGAACATAGGAAGTGACAAGGAGGTTTTCTGGATCGCATAGGAGACCCACGAGCTCAGGGGCAGTTGCCAGGTAAGGGTCATGGACACGGCAGGCCGGGGGCTTGCTGGGTCAGGGTCGGGAAGTGCATAGGCAGCTCTGCCAGGTTGAGGTCAGGAACCTGGGACGTGGGAAGATATCACTCTGACTTGCACTTTTAAGTACATGAAAGCCGTGTCATCCGTGGGGATGTGGGAGGTGGGCACAACCTGGAAACTGGACGCCCAGGGCCAGCTCAGCCTGAGAACCCAGTCCCCATGTGCGACCCCCTTCCTCTTGCCACAGAGCACCAACTCAGGCGTCCCCACAGCAGTTCGCTAGTACATCTCTTATACATCTCCCCTGATACATCTCCCCCCAGGTGAGTCAAGGCAGGGAGAGGAGACATGTGGAATCTTCTCTACCAGAAATATAAGAGACCCCTTGAGCCATTTCTCTATTGACTGGGGGGCTAGGGCAGGGAGATGGACACACGGACCCTGTACTGACCCTCTCTGCCCACAACTCTTGGGGCCTTGATCTGCAGTACCCGGAAGCTCGTTCTGGAGCCCAAGATGCCTGGGCTCGTCCTCTGAGTCTCCTGCAGTGGTGAGGGCTGCATGCAGCGATCCACAGCCCGTAACCCAGGCCCCTCATGACGGAGGACAGAGAGCAATGACTGACAAGGGCTGGGACCACAGCCTGTGTTAGGGGTTCCAAAGGGATTCTCTGTTTTCAATTGGTCCACCAGAAATTCCAGCACCTTCTCTACCCCAAATACCAAGGGAGATGATTTCATGTACATATAGCACCTACTAAGTGCCAGGAATATTTGCAGGGATCATCTCATTTGTTCCTTACAAGTAGAAGTTTACCATGCTGTCCCATTTTACAGATGAGCAAAACTGAGGCTTAGGTTGGTGGAGTCCCTTTCTCTGAGTCACCAACTTATAAGCAGCAGAGCTGGGATTTCAAGCCAGGTCTGTTGGTGCCTTCTCCAATTTCCACAGTGCCAACCACTGAACTCACCAGCCCTGGGACCAATCATCCTTGGCTGGCTAGGGGGTTAGTTCCCTGAAGACCCATTAGAATGGCCCTTGGATTCCCACAGGCCACCTGCTGACAAAGAAAATAATAATAAGGGCTAACATTTACCACACACCTACTATATACCATGGACTGTTGCTTTTCTTATATTAACCCGTTGATGGCCCATTACCCAATTGGCAATCCTCATGATAACTCAATGAGGTAGGGACTAATATTATCCCACATCACAGATGAGGCAACTGAGGCCCAGGGAGGTTAAGCTAAGTGGGAGAGGATTCAAAGGCAGGCAGTAGGGCCCCGGAGTCTTGCTCTTAGCCTCTCACTGTCCCTCCTCACGACACCCGCCCCCCGAGTACCATGTGCTTGTCATTCCATAGAGAGTTCATGAGCACCCGCTAAAGCCAGGCCCTGTGCTTGGTGCTGGGACCTTCTCAACCACAGAGCCCGCCCAGACCCTCTCTCAGCCCTCCCACCTCACCAGCCTGCACCCCCCTCTCTCTGGACCCTCCATCCTCCCCGTGCTCCTTCTTGCATTTGAACCTTCCCGTCCTCAAGATACAACCTGCTCCCAGGCTAGGGGGCAGAGCAGCCTCAACCCTTCATCATGCTGCTTCGCCCATGAACCCCACTCCCTACCTGTCTTGCCCAAGAGAGGCTTCCCATGGGATGGCTCCTTGGCCACTCCCACCAAGAAGGAGAAAGACGAGAGCTGACAAGGACTCCAGAGCATCGGGAAGGTGAGCTTGCGGCTCACAGCCTCCAGTGATGGAGAGGTGCTGCTGCTGGCCCGTCCCCCCCTTCCTGCTCCCCACCCCAAGCCACATGAAAGCACTCGCCTGCCCTGTCCTTGATCCCAGACAGCTCCCTTGATCAGAGCCACCTCTGCGTGCACCCCAACCCCCATCATCAGAGCCAGGAAAAAGCCCACTCACGGGGAGTGGGCCTGCACGGATGTGTGTGTGCAACCGAGTAAGGGGGCAGTGGGGTACACGGCAGGGCCACCAAGGCGAAGGGGCCAGATTGGGTGAGTAAGTAAGGAGATCCATGGGCTGGCTTCCCATCCTGCCTCGGCTGCTGTCAGCCGGTGAGATCTCAGGCCTCTTAGGTCTCTGGGCCTCATGTTCTGACGTGTTGAATGGGGAGAATAAACCTTTGGAGCAGGTGCTGGGAGCCAGGTTCTGTGCAAGATGATTTCCTCCAAGATCTCCTTGAAACTGTGCAGTGACCGTATGAGGCAGCTGAGAGAAGCTATTGTTATTCCCATTTTATAAATGAGGGGACCCAGGCTTAGAGTAACTCTCCTTAGGTCACTCTAGCCAGGTCTGACCCCAGAGCCCATGTTATTACCACCTGGCGGGGCTGGGATGAGGACGCGTTGAGCCAGTGGGTGTCGCCAGTGGAGAGTGGTGTGAGCGGAGGGCACCCTGCACTCCTGCGGTGGGGATAGAGCGTGGGATGGGCGAGGTGACCTCGGGGCACAGAATTCAATCATCTGATCAGGATTTTGAAGGTCAGGACAACGAGGGTCGGGGCATGTCCCCTCTGCCCCTGCTGTTCCCTCTCCCGGGGGCGCCCTCCCCTGCTCAGATACCCCCCACAAAAAGACAGATGCCGGGGGGTCCTAGAACCCATCTCAGTAGATGGCAACTACATTCGTGCCGTTGATCAAGCCAGGCCCCTTGGAGTCACCCACTTTTCTCACTCTTTCCTCAAACCCCACATCCAAGCCGTCCTCCAGCCCTGGCAGCTCAACCTCAGAATATGTCCGACACCTGCCACTTCCCGTGGTTCCCTCTCCGACCACCCCATCAGAACACCGTCAGTGCACACTCGGATTATCAGGTAGCGCCTAAACTGGTGTCTCTGCCTCCACTGTGCCCCCGTCTATTCTCCACCCTGATTGATCTGTTTAATGTATAAATGAGATCACGACACACACACGCACCCACCCCAAACCTCCGATGGTAGACAAATAGATTTGTAGAACAGAGTAGAGTCCACAAATAGACCCACACAGAGAGAGTCGATTGACTTTTGACAAAGGCCCCCAGGCTGTTCAATGGGGAAAGAGAAGTCTTTTTAACAAATGGCCCCGGAACACCTGGATAAGCTTAAGAGAAAAATGAACTGGGATCCCTACCTCGCACACACACAAGAATTAATTTGAGATGAATCATAGACCTAAATGTAAAACCCAGCATCATAAAGCTTCTAGAACAAAACATAGGAATATATCTTTGTGACATTGTGGTAGGCGAGGATTTCTTAAAGACGTCACAAAAGCACCAAGTGAATAATTGAAAATTGGTAAATTGGGCTTCATAAAAATTCAAATCTTCTGCTCATAAGAAGCACCTTTAAGAAAACGAAAAGGCAAACTACAGACTGAGAGAAAATACTCTCAATACTGATGTGTGACAAAGGATTTGTATGCAGAATATATAGTTTTTTTAATACAAAAAACTACTACAGATAATGGCAAGATAACTCAATTTTTTTTAAGAAAGAAGATATGCAAATGGCCAATAAACATATGAAAAGGTGTATAATGAAGACTAAACCCTCAGTGAGATATCATTTCTCAACCACTAGAATGGCTAAAATTGAAAAGACCGATAATACCAAATGCTGACAAGGATAAAGAACCATTAGCAGCCTCATGCACTGCTGGTGGGAGTATAAAACAATGCCACTCCTCTGGAGAACTAGCAGTTTCTTACAAAGATAAAAACACCCCTGCTCTATGACCCAGTAATGTCACTCCTAAGAATTTACCCAAGAGAAATGAAAATATATGTCCACAAAGATTTGGACATGAACATTGGGAGCAGCTTTGTTCATAACAACAATAACAAAAACTATAAGTAACCCAAATGTCCATAATTAGGAAAATGGATGAACAAATTTGTGGTGTATTCATACAACGAACTACTTCTCATCAAGGCGAACGAATGAACCCCTGAGACACACAGCAGCATGGATGGAACTCAAAAACATGACGCTGAGTGAAAGCAGCCAGACAACAAAGAACGATTGCGTTTATATGAACTTCTAGAACATAAGACTAATCTCTGGTGATAGAAATCAGAAGAGTGTTTACCTATGGAGAGTGGGGATTGACTGGAATGAGGCATAAGGGAACCTTCTGGAAGGATGGGAATATTCTAGAGTTTGAGATAGTGGATACACGTCTTCACATTTATTAAGATTCATCAAATTACATTCTTAAGAACAGTGCATTTCCTTATACGTGAATTTTATCACAATTTAAAAATACATGAAGCGTAAAAACAAAACAAAACAATTCACTAGACAGCCATCACATTTAAAACCAGATCCCAGTGGGGCTCGTCAGTCTCTCTCCTCAGCGCGATCTGTTCCAGCCACAGGGTCCTCCTTACTCTTCCTTGAATATGCCCTGCTCAGCTCACCTCTGTGACTTTGCATTGGCTTTCTCTTCTGCCTAGAATAGTCTTACCCCAGCTATTCTCAATCCCTCTTCATTTAGGTCTCTGCTCAAATCTTCTACTCACAGGGTCTTTCCTGGACCATCCTCTCTCAAACAGCCTCCTCAGCTCCTTACCTTGCTTTGCTTTCTGGCATCGCATTTATCTCCACCTGCAAGTCTATAACATATTTCCTTATTGCCTGAATCCCCCACCAGAATTTAGGTTGCGTGTGGGCAGGGTCTTTACCTGCCTCGTTCACAAAGTATGGAGCTCAGAACAATCCCTAACATATTGCTTAATAGACACTTAATAATTTTCTGGGTTGTTATGAAGATTAAATAAGGCAGTGCAGACAGAATTCTTAGCACAGTGACAGACAGAGTAAGGACTCAGTAAATATCAGCTACTATTGTTATTCGTCATTGTATCCCCAACATTGTCCTGCATGGTGACCAACACAGATTAGTGTACAATAAAGAACTAGATGGGTAGAGCAGATGAATGAATGGATGGGTGAATGGTATGATGGAGTGGTGGATGAATGGATAGAATGAATGCTTGGATGGATGGATGGGTGGATGGATGAGTGATATGGAATGATGGATGAATGGGTAGAATGAATGCATGGATGGATGGATGGATGCATGGATGCATGGATGGATGGATGGATGGATGGATGGATGAGTGATAGGGAATGATGGATGAATGGATAGGATGAATGCTTGGATGGATGAATGGATGGATGGATGGATGGATGAGTGAAACGATGGAACGATGGATGAATGGATAGAATGAATGCATGGATGGATGGATGAATGGATGGATGGATGGATGGATGGATGGATGGATGGATGGATGGATGAGTGAAACGATGGAACGATGGATGAATGGATAGAATGAATGCATGGATGAATGGATGGATGGATGGATGGATGGATGGATGGATGGATGGATGGATGAGTGTATGCATGGGCGAGTGGTTGTCTTAGTGAACACCCAGCATTCCTGGGGGGAGCCTAGCAGGGCTTTTCCATGAGATTTCACAAGGCTGTCCTTGTAGTCAAATGCTCAGGAGAGGTAGAGAGGGCAGTTTATATAATCAGCATCTTTTGCATTCTCCTGAGCAGATGCACACCACTTTATATTTCACATTACCGTCTCATATTTCTCCCCCATTGTCATTTTCAGAGCAACTCCTCAAATAGGGTAGTAGCTTATTCTCCCCATTTACAGGTGAAAAAACTGAGGCCCAACAAACTGAATTGACTCATCCAAGTCCTGTAACCAGAGCGTAGAAGGCTGAGCCTCCATCCCGGTCTCTGAACTCCCACTCTTTCTGTACGTCCAGGGGTTGAGAGACGTGAAAGCCCAGGGACTGAGAACATTCCTTTCGGGTTCCCTCCATCGTCTGTTCCAGGAGCAGGCAAGGGGGCCAAGATTTGCCTGCCAGGAGCTGCTAATGGCCTCAGGGTGGTGGTGGAAGCTCCAGGGGGATGGCAGCTGGCCTGGCTTCCGGAAGCAACGTCTTGATGCAGCAGTGAGGGCGGGAGTCAGAGGGGGCCATCTGCTGCAAAGGCAGCTGCCAGGACCGAGCTTGGAGAAGTGAGAGCAGAGCAGACCCCCCGCCTGCCCAGCCTCTGCCCCTCAGGGTCAGCTCCATGCGGGAGCCTCAGGAACGGGCTGCTCAGGCGGCAGGAGCAGGGGTCTGGCTGCCCAGGTGTGAGAAGGCGTCCAGCTCCCCCTCTCCTTCATCCCTGGGCTCCGAGCTTCCCTCTGAGGACCTACGTGCCATCCAGTCCTGCCCCTGCCACCTCCTTGCTGTGTGACCTTGGGCCAGCCACTGCCCTCCTGAGAGCCAGTTTTGTGGCCTGCAAAATGGGTTTTGTGGTAACCTGCCTGTAAGCACCAGCATGGGTGTGACAGTCCTAAAACAGGGTCTAGCACATGGTGGCACCTGATAAATGCCGAGTCCCTCTCCCCTCGGGGCCAGGAGGCTCAGGCTCAGGCCTGAAGGTGGTAGGTAAGGCCTTTAGAAAACAGGGCAGTGAGGAATCTGACTTGGAAGGGGAAGGTGCCTGCTGGGTCCTCCAGCTTCTCCGGGACAGCAATGCCCTGCCGCGCCCTCTGCTGGCTGCGGTGGGACAGTGCCATCCCAGCGGGACCTAAATAACCCAGGACCACACTGGCCCATGCAGGGCTTCCCACCTGCAAGGTGGCCTACACAGCCCTTGAGAGTTCATAAAGAAGGCGAGAAAGTTGCCTGGTCCCCTCTAAGCCTTCGTTTCCTTATACATACATAAGGTTGGAAGGTTAAATGAGATCACGCATAAGGCGCTTAACGTCGTGCTCGGCTCAGCACACACCAGACACGTGTAAGCCCCCAAACCAACCATCTCCCATGTTCCTAGCAACCCAGTGTGGTGGGGGGGCGAGGGTTGCTATCACTGTTCCCACTGTGCACTGGGGCAAAGCCAGGTGAAGTGACTCGTCCGGGGCACAAGGACTAGACCAGACCTTGCTCTGGGTCTCCTGGGGCATCTCCCCCTTCTCCAGCAGGTGGATGCAGCCACAGAGGCCACCCTTGCCCTCCATGCCGTTCCCGCCCCTCCCCACTGAAGCTTCTCCCAGCCCCACGTGGCACTTCAGATGACTTGCTCATGGTTTAATTAATAGTGCTTTGGTTTCCATCTCAGAGGATGAAATTGGCAGTGCCTGGGAGACCACCCACGTCTGCCGGCTGCTCTGATTTCTGCTCCGAGAGCTCTGAGGGGGAAGGAGAGGTTCGGGGAGCAGGCAAAGGCAGATGGGGGAGGTCTGAGGCCAGCCCCAGGCCTGGGGACAAAGCTTTTCTCCTGCTGCCACCCCGTGGAATGTTCACGGAGAAGGCACAGAGCGTGGCCCTTCCTCGGGCCGGGGAGGCTCTCCAGCATCTGCCCCCAGCCCCACCCCCATCAACTCCCTGACCTCAGCGCCCTGCCCTGGCTGTTCCCTCCACCTGGAACCCTCCTCGTGAGCTTCACGTCTCAGTGTCACCTCCCTAGAAGAGACGCAATGACCACCACTGCCCCTTGGTCGATTCTCTGCATGAGGCTGTCCTCCCTGACAGCTTCTGGTCTGTGCGCTTGTTTGCGTATCGAATGCCCTGGACTGAAGTGTAAGCTCTGCGTTGGAAGGCACACGGTCTTGTTCACCACGGCGTCCCCAGCCTGGCCCCAAAGCCTGCTAGCACCCGATAAATGTCAGGTGGTTGGCTCAATAATCACTTGTTGAATGAATGAGTGAGGGAATGAATGAATGATTCTGGGGAAAAGATCCCTGGACTGGAAGTCAGGGAACATGGGAAATTGGCTCCGTGGGTGACCCTGGATAAGCCCCTCTGTGATCCATGGGCCTCGGCTTCCCAATCTGAACCAGAGGGGAGGGACTCAGTGACCCTGGTGGCTCGTCCGTAGCTGATAGTCTCTTGTCCACGCCCTGGGGTGTCGTCTCTCCCAAGCTCAGAGATGTGAAGGGGCTTGAAAGAAGTGGTGCCAGGACGCGAGGAAAAGCGGCAGGGAGGATAAAGACCCAAGGAACGAGATGGTCCCCCATACCTTGTCTACCCCGCCATCTCCAATCTAGGGGGTCTTTCTGGAGTCTCTAGACTCCAGATACGCCTGGTAGAAGGAGCACAGGAGCAGGAGTGAGGAGACCCGAATCTTGGTCCCAGCTCTTCTTCACTGTGTGACCTTTGGCAGATCACTTCCCCTCTCTGGGCCTCAGTTACCCCGGCTGTTCAATGGGGATGATCACGGCAGAGCCCGCCTCACGAGGGTTTGGTGCAGCTGGGAGTCTGGGGTGCTTCAAGCAGTCGCGGCTGCCGGAGCAGGCTTCTCCCCGTTCCCAGCTGAGTCGTCTCCCGGGTAGAACCTCCCCTGGGCATCCCTGACTCCACCGTCCACTGGGCCTCTCTGATCTGACCCTTGTCCACTGGCCTGTACTTGTCTTTCACGCCCACTGAGAGGGAACCCCACAAGGGCAGAGATCCCATACACTGGCAAATCCTGTACACTGTCCTGCACGCCTTTGAATCCCCAGGTCCCAGACAGGGTCTGACCCATGGCAGGGGCTCAGGGAATGTGTATGAATGAATGCAGGCATGAATGAATGAATAGGCATCCTCGGAGCTCCTATCTCAGTGGCGGCTGATCCCCAGGATGCTGACTGCTGGACCAGAACCTTCTCATGCACTTCCTTCCCCCTCCTTTGCTCCTTCAGCCCCCCTCGCCCACATATACATACACCTCTCTGACCTGGCCTTCCCCTCCTACAGTTGCCCCCAAGGGACCCAAAATCATGATGACGCCCAGCAGAGCCCGGGTCGGGGACACAGTGAGGATGCTGGTCCATGGATTTCAGGTCAGCCTCTCTCTGAGCATCTGGGAGGGTGGAGGGAGTGGGAGGGACACCAAATGGGCGCCAGCTTCCCTGGCAGCATGCTCCGAGAGCCTTCCCTTGACCTCCGGCACAGCCAGCGGGCCTCAGTCTCCTGATCTGTGTAATGGCAGAATGGGCTTTGATAAGGAAGGGCATGAGGTGCGTGTTTTTGCTCTCCCATCTAGAACTCGGAGCAGACGTAGCCCATGGACCTTCACATCCTTCCCAGCCCCAGAGTCCTTCTCTTCCTCGGGTTCCGGGAAGCCACTCCCAACCCGTCAGATGAGAATGTGTGGCCGGCCTCGGCCAGGCCACGCTCTGCCCCCTCCGGCTCTGACAGAATGGTTCCCCCCGTGCCCCGACTCTCCTCTGCTCTGGCCAACAGAATGAAGTCTTCCCGGAGCCCATGTTCACGTGGACGCGGGTCGGGAGCCGCCTCCTGGACGGCAGCACGGAGTTCGATGGGAAGGAGCTGGTGCTGGAGCGGGTTCCCGCCGAGCTCAATGGCTCCATGTACCGCTGCACCGCCCAGAACCCCCTGGGCTCCACCGACACGCACACCCGGCTCATCGTGTTCGGTACGCTGTGCCCCACTGGGGTGGGGAGGACCGCCAGGCGCGGGCCCTGGCTGGAGCTGCCCCAGGAGGAGGGAGCAGCCAGGGCCCGAGTCTTAAATTTGCCCGGAAAGGGTGCCCCGCCGGGAGGCACTGTAGTTCATCAGTTAAAACCAGAGAGCTCTGGGCTCAAATCCCAAATCCACCATGTGGCAGCTGGGCAGCCTTGGGCAAACTACTTACCCTCCCTCAGTTTCCCCATCTGTAAAATGGGCTGACACTACCCAGCCCACAGAGGCTGCGTGGCTGCACCGAGACTGCACGTGATGCCATGTTAGCAGGTGCTGGATAGAGGGGAGCTCCTTTGCTGAGTTCCCAATGCCATCCACTCTCTTGTTCTCCTTCTCTTCTTTCCAACAGAAAACCCAAATATTCCAAGAGGAACGGAGGACTCCAATGGTGAGTCTCCACTCTCAGAGCTTCTTGCTTAAGAGCAACTGATGTTCAAGGCTCCAGGGAGCTCTGGTCCTCCAAACCGCCCATTTGCATACTTGCCCCCCCCGCCAGGCCTCAGGCAGGGAGACGTCCTCTTATTGGGCAGAGTCTGTCCTCTAGTTGGGCAGAGTCTGGGTCAGAGGTGGTCAGGAGTGGGCACTGAGGCAATAAAGGGGGACTCAGCACCCCAAAGCAGCAGGTGGGGACTTCCAGCGACCAAGTATGCCCCCCCCACCACCTCTATCCATAGTTACTCCAGCTCTCTTAGCTCAGAGGGCTCAGCTGTCCTGGCCCCAGGAGGATGTGTCCAGCAATGACTTGTGTTCCGGGGCTCTGGACCACTCCATAGGGCAGTCGGGAGCACAGACAGATGCCTTGGCTGGGGCCCTTTATATTGCCCTCCCTGGGCTGCCCCCCAACCTGAGCACCACCCCATGGGACCCGGCCACTGCTCCCCAGCCCCCCAGCCCTCTCTCCCCACACTGAGCCAATCTCACAGTTCACAATGGAGGCCCCCATTCTTAGTCCCTACTGGAGGGTCCTGATGGCCACCAGGGAGCCTGACCTCTGCCCAGCTGGCCTAGCTCAGGAAAGGATCACACACAGTGAGGCGGGACAGGTGGCAGAGCTGGGATTTGAACTCAGTGCGTCTTGATGCTGAAGTCCAGACTCTTGCGGGGCCCTGTGAACCTCTGCTGTTCCCAGGCTCCACGCCCCAACACGCCCTACAGAAAGCTCCATGGGTGGGTGGGCAGGCCCTGACCCCGCCCCCTGCCGCCCCGCACAGGCTCCGCTTCTGGCCATGCTGGCGTCCGGCTCACCTTGGTGCTCGCCCTGACAGTGGTCCTGGAGCTGACGTGAAGGCTCGGCCTGCTCCCCGTGCCAGCCGGCACCGACGTCTCCGCCATCGGTTTTCAATTCTTTTCTAAACTATTTCCAGTCCTGTTCTTAGTCTCTTTCTGTCCGTGTCTTGGCTTCTTCAGTCGGTTTAATTAAAACAAACAGAACGATTTTCCCCACCTCGGTCTGTGGCTCTGGATTCTTCATTTAAGGCAGCAAGTGGGTGCCCCTGGCATCCAGCACTGGGACAGGCCCTGGGTGGGGAGGCCAGGAAGGACATGGAAGACGTGTCCCTCCACCGGGATGTCTGTGTCCTAACCCCCAGAACCAGTGACCATGCTACCTTACATGACAAAAGGGGTTTTGCCGATGTGATTAATTTAAGGCTCTTGAATTGGGAAGATTATCCTAGATTATCCAGGTGGGCAAATGTGATCACAAGGGTCCTTGTAAGGGGGAGGCAAGAAGGCAGTAGAAGGAGATGTGATGACGGAAGCAAGAGATTGGAGTGATGCAAGGAAGAGGCCATGAGCCAAGGAACATAGGCCACCTCTGGAAGCTGAAAAGGCTGAGATGGGTTCTCCCCTGGAGCCTCCCTAGGAACTGGCCCTGCCAACACTTTTGGCGCCATAAGACTCATTTCAGACTTCCGACCTCCAGGAGCTGAAGGAAATACGTTTGCATTATTTTAAGCCACGAAGCTTGTGGGCATTTGTTACAGCGGCCATAGGAGACTCAGACAATCACACAGGATGTTTTTAAGGGCCAGGCCTAGTGGTGGCCGAGATCACCTCTGCCCACGTCCCATTGGCCAGAAGTCATCACATGGCCCCAACCTAGCTGCAAGGGAGGCTGGGATATAGTCTTCCTCTGTGCCCTGGAAGAGGAAATGGAGAGGTGAGCACAGAGCATCGTGTCTGCCACAGAGAAGCTGGAGCCCTTCCAATGACTCATTTCCATGTAACTCTGTCCAGGCCAGAGCAGCCAGAGGAGGGAGGGCTGGGAGGCCCCATCACCAGGAATGGCCCTCACCCACCTCGGCTGCATCAAGTGCCCTGGGCTTCTCCTCCCTTCCCAGCCGGGAGAGACTTGACCTCACTGAGCCCTCCGTCCCTCTCCCAGGCCATACAGATGTCCCAGGGGATACGGACCCATCCCTACAAAACTCCAGGCCCCAGACACATGAGGCTGGGAACTAAGCAGTGGCTCTGTCCCTTGCTGCCATCATAGCCCCTCTGAATCCATAACTTTTCCCCAGAATTTCAGACTCAGATGCTTGACTTCCTGCTGTTACCCCTCCCCCACTGGATACCTAATACCCGTTTCCAACTTCATGTGACTGAAACCCAACTTCTGATTTTCCTTCCCAAAACACGCTCCCTCCCCTTCTCAGGAAATGGGGCTGCCATCAACTCAGTTGACCAGGTCAACCATTTCGCTGGTATCTTCCATTCATCTCTTTCCTTTGTCCCTCCACATCCAATCCAACAGCTTGTTGACCTGACTCCCAAACTCATCCTGAGTTCGCTCGCTCCTCTCCTTCTCCACTGCCGCCGCCCTACACAACGAAGCTACCCTTGCCTGGAACATTGGCCCAGCCTCCTGTCTGGGGTTCAGATTGCACCCCACCATGGTCTGGTCTCCCCACAGCAGCCTGAGGGAGCCTTGTACACATAAATCATTCCATGGGCCCCTCCATCTCTGAACCCTCCAATGGTTTCCCATCTGCGGTGGAGTGAATGTGTTGCCCCCAAAATCATATGTTGAAACCTAACCCCCAGTGTGATGGTGTTAGGAGGTGGGGCCTTTGGGAGGTTACTAGGTCTTGAGGGTGGAGCCCCCACGAATGAGATTAGTGCCCTTATGAAAGGGACTCCAGAGAGCTAGCTTGCTCCTTCCACCATGTGAGGACACAGCGAGAAGTTGGCAGTCTGCAACCCAGAAGAGGGCCTCACCAGACCCTGGCCCTGCTGGCATCCTCATCTCGGACTTCCAGGCTCCAGACTGTGAGAAATACATTTCTGTTGTTTGTAAGCCGCCCAGTCTGTGGTGTTTTGTTATAGCAGCCCAAACGGACTAAGACACCGTGACACAGAAAATAAATACAAACCCCTTACAAGTCATACAGGACGCAGCCCTGCCTGCTGACCCTGTCTCACACACACACACTCACATACACACACACACACTCTCTCTCTCTCTCTGCTTCATTCACACTCATCTCTCCATTCCTCAAACTCTCCAGCCCATTCCTGCCTCAGGGCCTTTGCTCCACCTGTTCCCTCTGCCCGGAATTCTCCTCTCCTTGACCTTTGCAGGGCTGACTCCTCCTTGCCATTGAGATGGCAGCTTAACTAGCACCTCCTCAGAGGGCCCAACTGGACCGCCCTGCCCCTCTCCATCACACCATCCTTAATTCCATTCTCTGCATGGCACATACCACTGTCTGATGCTTCTCCCCTTTGCTTATTTATTTGTTGACAGTCTTCCCCCACCCTTGGCCAGAATGCCAGCCTATGGGTGTGGGGACCACAACTGTATCACCCACTTTTGTGTCCTCAGCGCTTAGACCAGAGCCTGGCACATGGCAGGTGCTCAGCAATTTATTGAGTGAATGAATGAGTGAGCACCCCCCAAGGACCTGCTATGGACCAGGCCCCACGCTAGGCACCCAGGCTACAGAGATGAGAAACACATGCTCGCTGCCCGGAAGGAGCTCACAGTCCAGTGAGGGGAGAACATCGACCCACCTGACCAGTATAACTCACACTGTGAGTGTTCAGCAGAGGCGCCTCCCCAGGGCTCTGGAGCATCGAGGTGGAAGAGATTCATTCTGCTGAGGTGGGAGGGGTGGGTCAGAGAAGACCAAAGAGAACAGATGACAGATGAACAGAGCGTGGGAGGAAAAATAGAGGTTGACCAGGCAGAGAATGAAGACTATTCTAGACAGAGAGAAGAGCGTGAGCAAATGTTTAGAGGTGGGACAATTTAGTATATATTTTGGGAAAAGACAAGTAGTTGTTATCAGTGCTTCCGAAAGCACATTAATTCACTCAAAAAATATTTATTAACCACTCACCATGCATCAAGCAGTGCGATGAATGCTGCAGATTAAACAGGAACGCTGTCACGTGTCTCTTGTATCAGTTATCTATTACCACAACATGCTGTGTAACAAACATCCCCAAAACATAGTGGTATAAAACAACAGCTATCCATTATTTCTCATTAGGCTTTGGTTAGCAGCTGACCTGGGCCAGCTGTGGCTGATCTACTCTGGGTTCCCTCTAGTGTCTGCAGTCAGCTGGGGGGGTCAGCTGGGGGCCAGCTGGTCTAGGGTGCCCTTCACTGGATGACTCAGCCCTGCCCCATGTAGTCTCTCATCCTCGAGCAGGCCAGCCTGGTGCAGCAGAGGAGCAAGAGAGAGAGCTGAAGCAGACAGGCTTCCTGGGCCTCGGGGAACCTGCTCTCTGTCACTTCTGCTACATTTTATTGGCCAAAGCAAGTCACAAGGCCAGCCCAGACACGAGGGGTGGAGAATTCCACGTTTTGATGAGAAAAGCTACAAAGTCGTATTGCACAATGTGTGGACACAGGGCAGGAGGCAGAATTAGGGCCATTTTTGTAATCCGCAATAGCCCTACCTTCTGAACGTGATACTCTAGAATCTTTGTTTTCCATCCACCATTTCACACACTTTCATTTAAACTGGTAAACCCAAATGACTCCTTATAACAATTTCTCTTTTAAAAATATATCAAATAAATGATTCATTCATTTAATAAATGTTTGTGTGCTCATATTTTTCAAGTTGATAGCAACACTGAAGCAGATGATTTTCAAGTGTTGAAGGCTCTCAGATATTCCTCGGTATAAACATCCAGGCCTGATCAGCAGGCAACAACCACACAGCACCACCTGCCTCCTCAGCCTACTTCCTCCTTCCCCAAAGCCCTGCTCTGTCTCACATGAGCCACTGCCCCCTCTGCTGCCTGCCAGCAATCCTGCCTAAGCCTCTGTCACACAACGCCTTTGCCTATTTTCTGGAAAGAATAAAATAGGTTTGTTCCTTTTCTTTGCCTTAATAGAGGGAGTTCCATGTAGGCATGAAATTGGAATTGCTTTGCCCTGTTAACGGTGAGGTTGTTGGGCTCCACTGACCCCTGCAGTGCACTAATATCTCAGCAGCAAGTGGATGAACCAGATAAAGTGATAGGGGACACGCCCGGAGAGGGCCGAGTGGGAGGTGTGAGGGCCAAGGGGAGGGGGCGGCCAGCTGTTTTCAGCTCTGAATTTGAGGATTTTGAGCCCTGAGCATGCTGGAAAGGGTGATTTGTTCAACCTGGGAGTGAAGGGAGAGAAGAAAGGATGAGTAAGACAGAGCCCAGCCCGAGAGGGGCGGTGGAGCCTTCCTTCATTCGTCCACCTGCTCATTCACACTTCTGACAACCCTGAGCCTCCCCCCGCCTGGCCCTGTGCCAGGCAGGCGAGACACAAAGACAAGCTGGGCAGAGCCTGCCACTGAAGAGCCCCTAATCCATCCGGAAATACAGACTTGAGGGGAAAAAAGAATTGAAATTCCATGTAATGAGTATTGGAATAAAAATATGAGAGAGTACAAGAGGGTCACAGAAGGGGTGAAAGTTCGTTCTGCCAGGGGAGTCTGGGCAGGCTTCCAGGAGGCAGTGAGTTACAGCCAGGGCTAGAAGGAGAAGACGGGGCATCGAAGTCAGTTCCACCACCTTCACAGTTTGGCCCAGGTCTGTTCAGAAGCCTCAGCTGTCTCTCGGGCACCAGCCCAGATGCTGCAGTTCATTGGGAGGGAAAAAGCCCGAGTTCTGGCCCTGGAGGGGGCGTAAATCCATCATAGCTTGAGCTCTGCACCCCAGCTCTGTGACTTCAAGAAAGCAGCTCCCCCTCTCTGAGCCTCTATGTTCAGCCACAGTGACATATGATTATGAATATATGTATCATGAGGATCTTATAAGGGTCTTACTAGATAGTGGATACGGCCGTGTCATGTTAATGGTACAGGGCATTTCACATTGTTAGGGCCACAGAAACGTCAGGCATTTTGAGCACAGCCCCCCACACTGGGCCACCTGGTGCCACCTGAGTTCATGCGGCTGCTGGTCCAGGCCTGACCGCCGAGCTCCTGACCCCCTGGAAGCTCCACCTCTGCTCACTGCTCTTCCCGACCATGAGTGAGTCCTGGTCCCCTCCAGCATCTGCAGACCCCCTGGTGCCCCTGGCAGAGGTCCCTCAGGCTGGTCGGCTGCCCCTGGGCCACTGTGTCCCTGATGCTCACTGGTCCCTGTG